CTGGCAACAGCACTACCAAAGCAAATGCACAGATCATAAGCAATCTGACAGCAGGTAGCTTCTTAAGAAGGCCCACACTATCAGATACATTAGAATTGTGCATGTTAATGGCCACTGACAAGTCATCTGAGCAGAACATACCCTAATAATCTTGTAAGATCATAGGAAAAAAATACCACTTTTCGGTTTCTACTTCTGAATTAATTCTAAATTAAGTTAGGAAAGGAGACAATAAATAAAATACTTTAAGAAGCCCACTTTATTGAGCACCTTTAGCTTTTCTTGAGTACCGCAAGATGAAGGCCCATATGTGAAACTACTTTGTGATCTTACGCCCCAAATGACTAGTACATCTCATCAGTTTAAAATTAATGACAATCTTTGTATGCAATCTTTTAAATCAGCATTGCTTTCAACTGGTCAGGAATTTTTTTTACTGTCAAGCCAGTTCCCACCTTGGCGCATCTGTTTTCCAAACGCAGGAAAACGTCATTCCATACCTAACAGTTTCACAGTCACTGGAGATCATCTCAGGTCTTTCTCACAGTTGGATCACAGAAAAAAAGTTAAATGAGTGCATGAGTGTTTGTAGACTATGGAAGCAAGTAATTTGCACAGTGTTAAATAGCAAAGTCAGGAAACAGACCAGAGTAAAATCCTCACTGTCAATTCTAAATACCCGCTTTACCAATAAACCGATGAAGCTGTGTGTAGCTGGGTGCTTATGGTGTGCTTATGAAATCTGATCATTACTTGTTCTCCTAAGCTATGCAGCTGTTAATGTGAAAGAAAGGAAAGATATTTCAAAAGTTTATTAATGCCCATAGCATTCATTTATTAAAGAAACTGGGTCACTTCCAATGGCAACTAACTAGAAATTCACCTTCCCAAGAACAGCAAGTTACGGAAACTGTAAAAACAAGTAGCTGCGTTCATAATTGAAAACAACCTTGAAGGCTGGAGACCCCAAACCATCTATCAAATGTGGCTAGCTAAGGTCTAACAATCTCTTCCAAAGACCTTTAAAGACCTTTAAAAGATCACTCCCTCACTGAAGTGTTTTTGATCTCGAAACTCAAGAAAAAATTTTATGCGATTTCACAGTAACTGAGAATTTACATTCTCCAACTTAAATCACACAAGTAAATCTCAAACAGAAAAGTACAGGCCTGCAGCTGCCAATTTGAACGTGGAAATGCTGATTCCTGTGATCTGCCCTCACATTTGGTCAATAAAACTTAACTGTTTCCCTGTGTCATTTTCAACTATTAGCAAGCAGTGACGCTGTGGCAACAGAGTTCAGTGCCACATCTTTGAACGGACTAAGAATCTTAAAAATAGTACAATACATTGCCAACTGAGCTTTTCAAGGGACTAAAACAAGTCCATCAAGTACTCTGTGCAAGTACGTGTGATTGGGCTAGAGATACTTAACTGCAGCTCACCACAGGACACTTTTTTTTATTTCTCTTACTTAACAGTCAGGAATCCTCAAACAGCTACATTGTTAAATCTTAAATAATGGGAAACTGCACAGATTATTAGGATGAAATGAAAGCAGGCCCCTTTTTAAAAGAAATATAGTTTTGATATAAGTATAGGTAAATGAGTGAACGTCAATGAAAACAGCAGTTCAAAGCAGAAAAGGGAATTTTTAGTATCACGGTCCTGTTGTGCTAAAACTGGGCAAGCGTTTGTAACAAAGACAGTAACTACCCCAGGGAAATGACAAACTAAACATAACTGGTAAATAAAGTCATATCTGCAAACAATTTGAAGTAGAGGAAAGGTAACAGTGAAGCGTATTTGCACAGATCAGTGAATTCTATTGTCGTTCTGACAAAGACTTTCCGAGAGTACAAGTGTTAAATATGAACAATTCATTACGTATCTTTGAATTTTCTGCTTGCTTTGCTGGTGGGAAAAATGCCTCAGTAGCTTAGGGGAGGAGTCTGTTAACAACAGCTACAGCAAAAAAGATCCGTAACAGCTATTAGTCAAACAGCTGCCACTTCATACAAGAATAGGCCGATCAAATTCTGACAGTTCTGAGCTCTGTAACCTTTTTTTTCCACGTTTATTCCCAATTTGTTGTCCTCACAAATCTATCTGTGTTGAGAGACATAATGCAAGCAGCTTGACTCCAGCTGGAACGTCAAGCAAAACAGTTCTCTCTGGAGCTAGTATTTCCAGAGATGCCTAAGTGAAATGAATGTAGAAGGAGCAACAGTATATTTCTCCACCTATACACAAAATGTATACAAGCTACTGAGCCAGCTCCATTTCTCTCCACATCCACCTATAGCAAACCTGCAATTAAGGCTGCACTTCTGAAGGTCAATTCCTTGGCAACTGTGCAGCACATTCCACAGGGCTGATATCAACATTCCTGCCTAGAGAGCTTGATACTGGATTGGTGACTGAAACTAAGAAGGTAGGTGGCATGGAGAAGCAGAGTTATACAGCTGGCAACATCTGTATTTGAGCTGTTACCATACAGCAGTTACTAACTACTGCTAAAATACTGAGCAATTTTCAGACTTGTAGACACTTCCACATTTATTTTATTTCCTCCGATCTGTTTTCGGCTAACAACGGTAGCTACCAGGAGAGATGGTAGAAAGTGTAATTAGTAATACTAATCTTATAACATTTCTTTTATATCAAGATTAGGCTTCTGATAGTTCAGAATGACTTCTATTTTGAAGCATCTAGCTCAACGGTAGGAATAGGAATGGGCAGAACAAGAATTCTTGGTAGCTTCTTCCAAACTTAACTGTGCTGTAAGTCATAAAATTCTCATCCAAATCACTTTGAATAGGTCTTAATTATATCAAGAAATATAAACTCATGTTAACGATAATCTGGAAGAAGTTCAAAATCCTCACCCATCGGGGCAACATTTTACCACTCTGAGATAATCTGACATTTTTTTTTATACCATGCACAGCCAGTGAGCAAATAGAAAAAACATGGCAGCATGAAGATGCATCATATATAAGCATCATAAGTTAAATAACCAATTAAGAATTTTGAAAAGATCCATATAAAGAGCAATTCGTTTCATTTAATTCTCTAGTTTGTTGCTAATGATTTACAAACAACTACATCTGTCTGGAGCGAAAAGAAAGAATAATACAGAATTTACCTCAGTAAATCATTCTATACAGGTTAAAGAGATGAAGCTCCAAGGGGCAAGAGAACAGTATGTTCACTTTTCACTCATGCATATATGAAATCCAGCTAACTTCAGTCAGTAAACATACGTATGTAATTCATCCTAGATATTACCTAGAACACCTCATCCAATGTGGTATCTGTCCAGGCCTTTGAATTTTGCAAATCCTAAGTTAGACTGTACCTATTTTTTCTCGTTTTGCATAGGTAAACAGCATCACTAACTCATAAAAGACTCAAATTCATGGAACTGGTCACATGAATTGAACTGGCACTTGGGTGTGTATTTAAGTACCTATAGTAATGCAAAAAGAACTGGATCCTGAGTTCATTCATATCAACAAAACTGCCATCAATTTCAATTACCTTATGGCATGATTTACAATAGCCACAGTTTTAAAATAAAACCATTTAATCTGGTGATCAAAAATAGAACGGTGGATTTTGTACTCATACTTCCTTAAAAAAAATCTGTTTATGAAACAGATGCTGAGACTCAGTGAATTATAAATTAACATGAAATAAGTATTTCTTTGATGTGCGAGAAAGCAACCTGTCCAAACACCCATTAATTTGTTTTTGTGACTGTGAGTTCCACGTGTTCAACGGGTGTTCAAAATTTTGTTTTTGGAATATCCATCTACATACACATATGTATTAAATACTGCATTTCAAAGCTTCATCCTCCATAAAATTTATATATAAAGATTTATGTCAAATACATGCTATAAAAAACTGTTAATGGGAAAGTAGAACTAATTTATATAAACTCATTTAAAAAGGCTGTGTTGCTAAATACAGTAATAACTACTATTACCAAAAACAAAGGCCGGGAAAGCCATCTGCAAAATTCAATTTCTTAAATAGAAAGGCAAAGAAGAAACGTCTGTCAAATTGCCTTTGGTGAAAAGAAATATACCAATACTTAACCATGTTTTGCAACAGTACACTGAGTAAGTCACAAAAATTTAACATACAAACAAAAACATCCTTCTATCCACTTGGTACAACAAATGGAGTTTAGGGATGGAAAAATTATCCAACTTAAAACCTGTGGGGTTATAGGGCTGTAGCATTTACATTCCTGCACTCGTGAAAAATGTCATGATACTTTCTAATGAGCACAAGCAGTGATAATGTGAAGTTGCACTCCTTACCTGAAAACCTATGCTTCCAGCAGCCAGAGTCCTCCTAAAAACTACACTAAACTATAGTTTAGTTCCAACTCAGAGGAAAGAATGAATTTTCAGCTGAAATTACATGAGATCAGTGAGCCTTAAAGGTCTGGCTCTCTGCTTGCCTGCTCCTAGCCACATGGCACCATTCTGTAGATCAGCAATGCACATTTGTGAAAACCTTCACTGCATATTAAGCCGCAGAAAGTCATATAATTATCTGCTGGGTAAGCGCGCCAAATGGGTTCATAGAAGGGTCCAACAAAGGACAGAATAAATGCAAGATGGGAGGTAAGACCTCTCCTGTTTAGCATCAAAGAGCCAGTAGATTCTCTCTTAGTCTCTCATGCAACTTCATCAGTTATAACTTTCTAAAGCACGTGAGAATGCAAAAATCCTAAAAACAACTGAATACCAACTTTGTCCAACCCTGCTCACAAGAGCCTGTGAAAGCCAACAGGATCAACAAAATAAAGCATTAGGTTTTTTACAAGTTGGATGACAACTATAGGGCTAAAAATAGCAACCAGCAAGTGCTTAACACCCAAACATGTATAAACTGCTTGATTTGAAGGCAAACCAATCACTGCATTAAAAATAGAAGAATTTTATTGACAAAACTGAATTAAACAAAACATATTAACTTACAGAATCCAGAAAACAGAGATAGGTTCCTGAGCTCTGTGCTACTGCTTGATTCTTAGCAAATCCAACTGTTAAGAAAATAAAGACAAAATGATGTGGTGCTTTTCACCTTTGCATTTTTTAAAACTTATTGCAGTCAAGAACAGATGAAAGGAAATACAAAAATCTGTATTAGATGAAATACATTATTTTCCATATCTGAAAATAGGAAACTTCTAAATATTTAAATTACACGGCCGTTTCAATCTTGTTCTTTGAGCGGGCATCAGTTGCACGTGTTGAAATTCTACCACTCAGCAGAACTGGACTACTCTTGCTAGCTCCCTGCTAATGACATGCTATCTAATGCTTATCTTGAAGAGTCCAACTATCTAGGTCGCAGACCCAGTACCTCAGATGCTGCTCAGGGCTCAGAATGCCCTTGGCCATATATACATATCTGTGTCTCTGACTACACGACAGTAGAAGTTTTGCTCTCTCGTTAGACTACTGCAAGAATAATGCTAAAAGCTAACAAAAGCTCAGCAGAAAGAATTCCTTCACCTTCCCCACATCCTTCAGTTTCAAGTGTGACAAGATAGGCATACCACCACTATTTTATGACAACCTACATGAAAAACATTAGTGAGTTCAGTAAAGTTCCTCACAAAAGGACGAACACGTCACAAGAGCTATTCCTACCAAGTTTTACTAACTGATCACAAACAGATAATGAGTAAACTACAATAAATATACTTCATATGCATAGTTTATACTAAACATTAATTTTTTTATAGATTGAAATATACACATGCATACATATATAAGCATATACGCACATATATATACAGTGTTTCCTTCCTCAGTCATTCCTATTTGTTTCACAAGCACTGATCCATAACGTAAATTATTAGAACAACTTTTACTATTGCTTATATTTGCACAGGACTTTGCATAGTAGGGGCTTAAAGCCTAACTGAAGCCTTAGACACTACTGTAACAAATCATAAAGAAACAACAGAAGGACAAGAGATCATCAGACAATGTGTTCCATGGGTCGGGTTCTCAGAAGGACATAAAAAAAGGTCTGTTCCATTTTACTTGTTAAATACAAAGTATGCAAATATAAAAACTTCATGCATCATTTAACATAATTTTGAAACACTGTGTCACCAGGAAGTTAGAGAATAATCAATATGTAGTGGCTCATGTAACGCAGAGGGAAGCCACAGAAAAATATATGCACGAGGAGCACAAACCTGATGAATTTATACCATACCAGTTTATACCATCTATGGAAGACCACACTGAAACTTAAATTCAGCCAAAGGACAATGCTGGTATCTATGTTCCTTCAGTTTCTGTCCCCTGAGACTTGTTCGATCTTTCAGCAAGTCATTTCAGGAAGCTGAATCAAAAGAAAACTTTTTTTTTTAAAATCAGCCTAGTTTCCCACTAGATGACAGTACTGAAGGGTCAAACAAACAGCAGCGCCAGAAAAAAAGAGAGGGAGCAGGAATACATAGGCAGTGGTACAGATGGGACTGCGGCAACCAGCAATGAGATGAGCTTAGCTTACCATTGCAAACATCTGCAAGGTACAAGCCTTAAACCAGTTAATCTGGGATAATTTTTGTATATAGACCTGGTCTTCCCTAGAAGAATCTGGACTTTGTACTCTTCTCACAGGCAGCATTATCAGGGAAGACTACATTGTCCAGTGTTAATCTGAAAAACCTTATATGAATTCCACTTGGTGGTATTTGTGCCATTTAAGTCTTGCCCAAAGTCTTTACAGACCCAAATCAGGGAATTCAGCAAAAGATTGCTCTGATATGCAAACCACACGATGTGAAAATATGCAATACTGTATTTTTTTTAATCTTTAATGGCAGAACTGGAAAGGCAAAAGCAAAAACCCTCACAATGAAGTACAGTAGGATAATTTTAAATAGCATTATCCCTAAAGTTGCACTTGAAAAAGTAGCCTTTTGGAATTCTCTCCTCTTTATGTGATACAGGTTTAACTTTGCCCAGGAAAAAATTTAACTGGGCTCAAAGGTTCACTTACTTCAATGTTCACGCTCCTTGTCATTTTGCTGACTGTTCCAAGTAAAGTAAAAGGCTTATGACCGCATTTCCTACTGGCCCAAAGGAACATTATGTCAATTACCAACAGAATAGTAATAATCAAGGCTCTTCCTTATATATTTTGAATATTTTAATCCTCACCTTGTGAGTGTCTTTGAGTCACCTTAACTTCTTTTCTTCATCATACATTCCTTGGACTTTGTTCTACTATCTTACAATATACTTACACGTTATTTTTAAGTGTATGAATATCTAATCTTAATGTACTAACTTACAAAGTTAGTCCCATTCTCCTTCCTACTGGCAGCAAAAAGCAGCTGGCAAAGTCAGCGGCTAGCACAAAAGTAGAACTGCATCCTGGCACGAGTAGTTTTAGAGGGAAACGACTAATGCTAGTTAGCAGGTCTGGACATGCCAAACAAGCAAAACCCTAGTATCAAAAGAGTTCCCTACCAAAGCAAGATGAAAAAGAATAGGATAGAAGTAACTTTGCCCAACGTCAATCAAATCAATCTCCAAATCTATCAGTATCAGCTATAAACCAGGCTGTATTTACATTTCGTTGCTCTCATTATTATACCCCAATATTGCAACAATCTTTAATATAAAATAATGAAGTCCAAGGAAATCAATAACGAAGAAGAAAAGTGAAGGAGACTCAAAGGCAACTACAAGATGAGCATTAAATTACCGTAAGAACTTTCTGAAATATTTCGCATCTTATTTTCAAATAAAATATTTTAAAGACAAGTGTGAAATATTATATTTATTATGACAAAAAGCTGGAAAATATTTCTTCTTAATTCTTCTTAAGATTAAGACAGAAAACCTCCTGAAGCTTTTCTTATACCAGCAAGGTTTTAAATGGAGAGAGGAAAATACACATATTCTAAACATTTTTAGAGAGAGGTATAACTCCCTGTAGAAACCAGATATTAAAGAGCTGTTTCCCCACAATGAATCTTGCTTGGTATGAATAAAAAATTTTCTCAAATATTACAGTACTGAAGAAAATCAAATGTTTGTGCCAAGTCTCTGAGTTTTGTAAGGCCTGCTTACTTGGTGAAAAGAGCCTGTAACCATGGTTACAACCGTAAAAACTTAAGCCTCACTGAGATATTAACATTCCTCACTCTTGGAAAGAAAAAGGTTTCCTTTTTCTTTTTTCAAGCAAGTGACCCTTTCTTTTTTTTAGGTCCCCCCCCCCTTTCTTTTACACATTAGAAAAGAATCAGAAATAAATCCTAATCTTGTGTAAACAGCTGAAGATGTGAAGCTTGACTACTACATTGTTTCTGTATTAAAGCATCTTCTTTTAAAGGAAAGACTCCTTACAGTTGTAACTAGTCCTTAACATAATAAAAGTAAATCACTGAAAGCAAACACATACTATGGATTTCAAGTAATCAGCTCCTAAAAGGTAACAACCATGAAGAAAAGATGTGCTCATTTTAATGGTGACCTGGGAGTGACTTCCACATGAATAACCTTTTTAAATAATAGCATAAAATGCATACTTTAAAACAACCCTCCATCAGCCAATTTTTTAAATGACCGTCTCAGATTTCAGCTGTACTAAAATGGACGAACACATGTTAAAATGATAATTAATCTAACACATCTCTTTAATGGCACAAGATAGTCATTGTAGTACACAATTCTTGAACTTAGTTTCAGTTTCCTAGAGTGCAAAGGTGAAATGACTTCAGAGTATTACCATCAATTACTGTCAAGCCATTGCACCTGTGTGCTCTTGCAAACTAAAAACTGATTTGCACACATTATCAATACAAATCAAAACACTATATTAGGAACAAGGCTTAATACATAGAAAAGTGTTTTATGAAAAATGGCAAATAGGTAAGAAGTTGATATTGACAAAAATATTACCAGACAATGTCTTGGTATTATTCTTTAACTTTTCTCCTAAGAAATGAATGGTATCTTGAAGAACACAAACTTGGAATCAGCTTTATACCAATTCTTACCTGTCTATTCATTGTCACAAAACCCAGAATGACAGGAACACTATTTATATAGCTCACATACAAAATAGGAGCACACTGCTCTGCTTGACTGGTCCTGTGGCGGTTCTCCTTCAGAACACAGACAGGACCTTCTGACTGTATTTAATACTATTTGACATCAGCTTCTTCTAAGAGCAACATGCTTTTACTTGTATTTTACATTTTAGCATGCTAAAAATGCTAAACATAAAACAAGCAAAACGATCAAAAGAAAAATTGCCAATGAGATTGTTCATTATCTCCTTCAATGGGTAAATGTAATTTGCATTAGCATGCAAATCACTGGGGGAAAAATCACACTGCAGACCTATCAGTATTTACATGAGGCGCTAAAACAGTATGTTTAGCAAAGTACATCAGTACTTTATTGTCTTAGCTCACACATCAAAACTTCTTAATGATCAGATCAAAACAGAGGTTTTAAAAGAGAGACTGAAACTGTGTTTTGTTCTGTTTCATGTCAGGCCTCTGCCCCTTGAATGAAATCAAGCACTGGTTTTTCTTCCACACCTTGCAAAAAGAAAGCAAGGTTTAAAATTAGAAATACAGAAGTTTTAAAGTTCATATCCCATCATCGGTATCTTCATTCTACAGCACCATACTTTGTTATTCAACTTGATTCTGTTATCTACTGGCCAATTACAAAACTCCAGAATCATTTCTTCTTATTAGGCTTGGACCACAGATTTAACCCTGTTTAAAAGCAGTAGAGTTTTGCAATAGCAACAATAAAAAACCTAAAATCTTCACTTTCTGCAACATGGCTGAAATTTTCCTTTCCCACAGCCATTAATAAAACAAAAATCTCTGACTTTTAATTCAACTGCACTGTTTATGATGATGGGCTTTATTCCCAGGAGCATAATTTGGGAAGGGGAAGAACTGTTCATCTGATTAAACATCAAGATTGGGATTTAGGAAGAAGAAAGTCTTCTAACATCATTTTTGCTTTGGGGGTCACTCATTTTTTCTACCACAGCAAGGAGAGGCATTTGCTTTTTATATGATTACATAAGAAATCTTGGGTTTCTTTTTTTCTTTAAATCCCACCTCCTGAAGATAAACCAGATATCAGAAAATCACAGTAAGATTGTAAGCATTAACAACATTGTGTATATTATAATTAAACAAAATTCTTTTGCTGAGTAGAGCACAAGTATTAAGCCAAGTTCTTCCTCCCTGGATGTATAAACAAACATCACAGAGCCAAAAACAACAGGGCCAAATTCTAAACTGCAATGGGTTTTTGAACATGGAGCTCTGAAAAACTATGCCATTTTTTTCCACTGCAAAGCAAGTGGCTACAAAGATACTTTTCAAACTAAAAACAAAAGATGCCTGCTAAAACACTGTAACTCTCAAAAACATCAGTACTGAGCTACATACCTCCTCCAGGTTGAGATGAATCATTGCTACCTATGATTACTGGTATACCAGCGTCTTCCAACTTGACCTTCCATTTTTCAATGATTTCAGCTGAACCGTCCTGGAAAAATAATGACATAGATGCTGCTATTTTAACCTGTATGTTAAGCCAAACACAGTCCAAAATACAAGTTCTTATCAGAGACAGTATTTCCTTGGATGATATTTTAAACAAAGTCTGAAACGTACCTCACTGGCATCATTAAAAACTGACAGCTCCATGGTTCCTTTAAAATCTTGCTCCAAAACTGACTCCAAGCATTCATCTAACCAGCATTCACTATTATGAACAGGCAGAATGATAGACTACAAGAAAGCAAACAAACAAAAATGTCAGTAGGCACCACTTGTGTTTACTTACAGTTTAAGAATAATCACGAAAAAAGGGAAGTGCCAGAATCCTTCTGAAACCAACTTTCACAGAAAATGGATCTTAAGAATATAAAGGTAGGCAAATTACCTCTATTTTCATTATAAATATATGCTTTGATTTCTTCTTTATCAAACTTTTATGATTTTTGAGTTCTATAAGATGGCACTTGGTAAATCTTCATGCAGTCAAGTGACCACTGACCCAAATATGCTAAAAAACTATCTATACCACTACTTACCTATTTAAAACACTGCTAACCCATTTCAGGTATTCCAACATCCCTTAAGCCTCACTTTACTTTTGGCTTCCATCAATATATCTTTTTCATCAATTTTTGTTAAGCCTACTAACAAATTGAAGATACTTAAATAGGCAGCCTGCAGCCTTGCACTCCAGCCAGTTTTAAAAAATTGCTTCTATCTAAAACTGCTATTAAGCACATTAAAAGATGGCACATGACATGGTAGACGAAAGAACTAATTCATACAGGCTTTCCTATCCTAGCCTCTCTCGATTGTTCCAGTAACACACACGCAAAATATGAAAACTTATCTGAAATATTTTAAAATTGTTTAAAAAACCCAGATGATGGATTTCTCTGTTTAATTTCTCGTCAGTGTTCTCATTATTTTAACCCCCAAAAGGCAACAACCCCAAAACACACTTTCTGTACCTCAAACAAAAGAATACATTCCATTCACAGTATGCAAGTCCTAAGAAATTACCACAGTTAATACACTGGCTATGTCTGGGAGGGCTCAAACCAGCACCTACTAGCATAGCTTATTGATGGGGGACTTAGGGCCAAGAGGTAAACAACTTGTACAAAGTCTCATGAAACATTTTAAGAAGTTCTTAGGAACAACCCAAACTCCTTATCTTACCACGTAACCAGAAGTGCCTACTTTAAAGAAACAGAGGATCAGTTCCTGTTGTGACTATGCTAGAATTGGAAAACAAGATACTAGAAGAGCATTGAAATGGAATTATTCACAACTTAGTACATATATAGGCATATACACACCATGCATGTACATGCAAACGCATACACCACTGAGCAGATGTATTCTGTGCACATTAAGGAATGCCTATTCTTTGGGTGTTACAGAGTACAATGCATGGTATAACAATTAAGAAACTTAATAGCATTTCACAGGAAAATGCATATATCATGGAGCAGATGTATTCTGTGCACGTTATGGAGTGCCTATTCTTTAGGTGTTACACAGTATGATGCATGGTATAACAATTAACAAATAAGAAACTTAATAGCATTTCACAGGAAAATAAAAAACTATACTAGTCTAAAATGAATGTACCTCCTCATTTTGGCAGGATGCTGTAACAGGCAAAAGTGATATTTAAAAACAGAAGGAAAGCTTTTCAAAATTTTAAGCAAAGCAAAGACCTCGACCTCTGTTTTGGAGAAATAAAAAGTAAAAATATCACACTAAATACAAAAGTCACAGTAACAACATATACAAAAATTATATTCCAGAGCTTTGTCTCATATTACTCATAGTACTGTGAGATTTCAAAAAATAAGCAGAAATCTATAAATTTTATTTACTCATGGTTCTAACATCCCTTATGTCTAAACAGCATAAGATCATAGATGTCTTAGATGTTGATCAATCGAACGCGTTTATTCAGAAAGAAAAGGGTGCTCCAATTCTTCCAATGGCAATATTAACTAGCTGTAATTTTACACACCCAGGGGAAAAAAAAAAAAAAGTGTTTTCTTTCTAAGTAACTACCCTCAAGAAAAATTGGACTATGCCATCACTAACTAGCTCGATAGTAGCTTGAGTACTGTATAAGTAGAACTCTTTCTTTACTTTTTTTTCACTGTGAGACCAAAACCAGAAAATATCAAGCTCACGTTAGGACTTTTCTCCTTCGTTTGAACTGAAAATGGCAAAGACAATACTTCAACAGCAGCACAGATAAAACAATCCATCTGATGTTGCTAAAGTGCTCTGAACTCTAAATAATAACCCATAATACATTCACATGCTTTTTAAACATATTACTGCATGCAGGTTCTACCTTCACAGAACTACCACAACTATGGTGAGCTACATGGCTGCCAAAATAAGGTACAGAGTTCAATTGCCGATAATATTTCCGTGTAAAACCTGAAAAAGTAACAAATTCATACACGGAACTGCACACAGGAATATGATTAAAAACAATTGTTTCAGTGTACTACTGCTATTTAGGTTCTATCGTTCTTATTCAGTTTGCTGTTTTTGTGCATCTGCTCCCCCTCCCCCCCCCGCAAGTCCAGAGAAAAGTTGAAAACATCATAGAACTAAACTTTCATTTTTCCCTAGTTCATTTCTACATCTGTAGCCTGCCCTAAAATCTGAAGTTGGCACTTATCCTGAAGTGGGTATTTTGCATAGGGCTGTACATTGGCCTGTACCATTCTGTGCCGATCAGAATACCTCAATCGCCTTAGTTCATTTAAAGAGGACTAAATACCAGGGTACCAAACTTCACTTACAGGTGCAAAATCAGAGAAAAACTCAGTTAATAGATCCTGTCCGTTTCTTTCGGCCTAAGACAAGATCAACCACAGCTAGATCATTCCTGACAAATCATAATCTCCAACGACAGAAACACCAACCTTTGTTAAGGCAATCTCTAAAAGCAGGCATAAGGGAGAACGGAAACATAGCTTTCCTAATTCTAACATCCTTTCGCTGCAGTTTATCTCAAAGACTACCTCCCATTCCCCGCACAGTTTATTGGTCTAGTTCTCTTTGCAGCAGCTTTTCACATATTTGATGACTCTTACCATAACAGAGTACTACAGAAATACACATAGCGCTCTTTCAAAGTAATTTTGAGTCAACAAGTCAACACATGGACATAAAATTGCAAACAGCTACCTGTTTCTGTCCTTACAGAATCACCTGAGCAACACGGAGTAAATGTTATCTTCTCATTACTTGTTATTGATTTTTAGCAAAAGCTAACGGAAGAGTATTTTCATGGCCTGTAAGTAGGGTACAACATTTAAGGTACAAAACGAGGCATTAGGGGATATGGATTTTTTTCCAGCTTTCCTCACTGCTCTGCAGATCCAAGCACTGTGACACTATGATTTTCCCCGAGCTTAACAATTCTAGAATGAGACCTGAAGTGATTTTAGGCATTTAGGCTTTTTTTTTTTTTGCCATCATTAAACTGAAGATAATGATTTATTTGATGTATAAAAAAAAAACAACAGAATGCTAAATGGTTAACAGGTAGTCACTCTCCTGTCTTCTACAAACGTTATCACTCAACCAAAAAACCTCTTCCTCCCTCTGCTAAGCTACTGAAAAACAGTACATCAATCACAAGACTGAAGAAGAGAAATAGGGGTTAAAAAAAAAAGTGATATAAACTGTGCAACTCAATGTTCTGCATTTTGCATCCAAGAAATCTCTTCTCTCTTCTTTTGAGGAGGTCAAAAATATATAGCAAAGAAATCCAAAATGAAACGCTATTTTCAGTTTCAGTAAAATTCAGTTCAGGCTGGCTCCTACCCGCCTCCATCACATCTGAATGCGAAAAATAAATTCCAAAATCATTTTAATATTGCTGAATATTTTATGCAAGTCAGAAACTGTTATTTTTGGTTTTAGAGGAAGCTTTCTTATAAAAGCCATTATGCCAAGCCATTTAAAAGCTCCTTTATGTTGGCCAAAGCATACTAGTTTTGTCAAATCTCATCTATAAGATGATTTAAGTGAATCTAGAAAGATCTTCAGGTCACAAACTTTGACCCGCCTTTAGGATCTGAGACTGCATGGCCACCACGCTCTTCACTTGTTCAAGGACCTGGATTTTGTTGCTGTTCAGAAGGACCGGTATGTTTGCCTCACTAAATGTAAACTCTTGCCAAACTAAGTCAGCTGTATCTGTACACTGCTTTGCAAAAAGGAAATCTAACCAAAAAAAAAAAAAAAGAATTGGTACAGGAAATAACAGAAGTGTCAACACCTGTAAGAAAGTTTTAAAACTCTCTTTCCAAACTCCGTAAAACCAAATATGCCCAGCGGGTCAGCCCGTAAGGCCAACTAGCAAAAAAGCAAGGCCGAATCCCTTCCCGGGAAGGAGCCCTGCTGCCTTCCTCCGAGCAAACGCAACACCCGCAGAAGACCTGCGGCAACATGCGGCGGGGAGCGGCGGTCCGCCCCGGCCGCTCGGCGAAACTTTATCCTTTGCCCAAACCCGCGGCCCCTCGTCCCGGCAGCAGGGCCCCCCCGCTCCTC